ATACACATACTTTCTGTTTACATGTCAGTAATACCTGGGATATCCTGATATCACCAGTAGTAGGACTACTATCGGATGTCATTAATCTCATACTGTAATGGAGTAGGTTAAGCCCCAGATTTAATCCCCTACTGTCACTGTTTCGCTGATCCTTTATAAATTGGCAAGGGTAAAAGGTTGCGCCAGGCCGACTTGCTAGAAGGGGCTGAAACCGAGAAATTAACCCGATTGTCGGTCTGGCGGTACCTCCCCATCTCGACAGAAGGATGTCGTTGGCTTGTCTCGTCAAAGGTTTGATTCACAACCTATTCGATATTAGCGTGTGAACAGCCATCGCCTGGGTGTCCCCGTAGTGATATAACTAGAGGTCACACATGCAGCTGCCTAAAACCCACTCACCCACTCACTTACTCGCCCACTCACCCACTCACTCAGTGTTTTTTTACACGGTCAGCTGAGATAAGTGAGTGACGTGTAGCTCAAACAACCGTGATCTGATTTCCGGGTTTTAACAAGTTTCGGAATAATGCACAAATCATTGTCACTTGCCCAACTGCATGTTCTTTGGTGTATACATATCCACACGGGGTTTTCCGGCACATTTTGTATAAAGGTGTCAGCTTTATACACAGTCATGTCATTACCATTGTCGACTGAACACGACACCCATGTACTTGGACCGAAGTTCAACCCACAGATCGTGAGACATATTGGCTTTACAGGTAAGACTGACATGTTTCTTGCTCATTCTTGTCCAACTGACCTAACGATTTACAAAGACAACTTGTTCCCAGAACATGCCGTATAAAACATAATAATGTAAATGCTCAGCGTTCTCTTTCATAGACCTTAACAGAATGCAGGTTAAAACTCGTCCCAGGAAACATTTCTTGGTCAAAAGTGAGTGAGTGAGTATGGTTTTACGCCGCTTTTAGCAATATTCTAGCAATATCACGGCTGGGGACACCAGATATAGGCTTCACACATTGTGCCAATGTGGGGATTCGAACCCGGGTCTTCGGCGTGACGAGCCAACGCTTTAACCACTAGGCTACCCCACCGCCCCTCCTGGTCAAAAGAATGAGTGAGTGAGTGAGTGAATTTTTTACACCGCTTTTAGCAATATTTCAGCAATATCAGAAAACACCAGAAATAGGCTTCACACACTGTGCCCATGTGGGGAATCGAACCCGGGCCTTGACGAGCGAACGCTTTAACCACCAGGCTACCCAATCTCCCCTTCTGGTCAAAAGAGGCCACAAAGTGAATCGGGTGGTTAGATTCACCTGCCTGGTTACATACCATCGCTCCCCTACACCGTGGAATGCTACGTACAATATTGATCACTGGACTGTCTGGTCCAGATGTGATTATCTATAGCCAACCCACCTGTAGTTTGAACATTGCCGTGTGTGGCTTTAAACCACAAACAACCAACCTCCTAGAAAACAAAGTGTTGAAACAGTGACCGTGAACCTCCTTCGTTAACTTTGTGCGCGACACCTATCATTGCAACATTCACTACAGTGTCTTGTGTCTTAGTGAGGAATGGACACCAAACAGGAAGTGGTCCGTCAGTTAAATTATCGTATCCACGTGTTGCATGGCCACATTGGAGCTGTTCTTTGAGAACTTGTGTTGCTTATTTAGTTCATGCTGAAACGACCCGTGAAGAATATTGATCTTCAGCAACCCATGATTGTCGTAAGAGGCGACTAACGGGATCAGGTGGTCAGGCTCTCTGACTTGGTTGACACATGTCATCGGTTACCAATTGAGCAGATCGATGCTCATGCTGTTGATCACTGGATAGTCTGGTCCAGACTCGATTAATTACAGACCGCCGCCATATGCCTGGAATATTGCTGAGTGCGGCGTAAAACTAAACTCACTCACTCATGCTGGGACACCCAGAAGATAAGGACATGGGAGACCAACGTCATGAACGTCGTTTCTGCAAAGTTGCCTCCCTTGGCGATGCCAGAAACCTGTGGTTTGGGGTTTAGAACTTCGTGTCGTAGATTCCATGGTCCAACGAACCCATTATGGACGAGAAAATGTCTACGATCAGTATTCCCAGACAATGATACCCAGTGTCCAATGTTTTGGACATTCATTACTCTGAGACCATGTCCTATGGCACCCTTTGGAGCACTGTTCTCAGTGGTCCGCATATTTCTCTACTCACGATTACCGTTTTTTCACCAGTTTATGTTCTACTCTTCTTGAGTCTTCTTGATAGGCGGTAGGGTAGCCTAGTGGTTAAACGTTGGCTCGTCACGCCGAAGACCCGGGTTCGAATCCCCACATGGGTTCTATGTGTGAAGCCCATTTCTGGTGTCCCCCGCCGTGATGTTGCTGGAATATTGCTAAAAGCGGCGTAAAACCAAACTCAGTCAGTCAGTCTTCTTGAGGATCTCCACACTTGCTCTGTGACGTCAGGCCGCTTTAACGAGGCAATTAGCAAGTCCAAAAACGAGAGTGAGGCTCACAGGTGAACCACCCACATGGATTTACGCAGCCTTGCTCTTTTGCCAGAAAAAGAAGACGACCCCTGTGTTCTCCTGCTTTTCCATTAATAGAAACATTAACAGTGCAAACGTATAGGATGAAACGCAGGGTGTCTACAACGAGGCTGGGATATCTCTCGGTATTTTCCTACACCCAGTCTGTCTACGGAAGCCCATATAAATAGGTTATGCAGGACTTGCTTTTATCGCCTAACGGTTGTTGGCAATATCCGGCCTCTTATCAGCACTAGAGCTGGCCATTCTCTTGTCCGATCACACGTTCTCAGTAGATTAGACTACTGTAACAGCTTCTATACGCATGGTCTCACTGACATTATCTTTGTGAATTACAGTGTCGAGAATACAGCTGCCCGAATAGCACTTGGTTGTTTTACGCCGCACTCAGCAATATTCCAGCTAAATGGCGGCGTTCTGTAAATAATCGAGTCTGGACCAGACAATCAAGTGATCAACAGCATAAGCGTCGATCTATACAATTAGGACACGATGACATGTGTCAACCAAGTCAGCTCGCCTGACCACCCGATCCCGTTAGTCGCCTCTTACGACAAGCATGGTTTGCTGAGGACCAATTCTAACCCGGATTTCACGGGTTTGCCCCGATAGTAAGCCTCACTACTACACAGGCACATCACCCCAGTACTCACACAACTACACTGGTTGCCGTGCCAGGTTCCAGTTCAAGATACCCTCTTGTTTCTGTCTCCTCATCATCTGACTCCCCCGTACATCCTCAGAGCTAATCCCTTCCTCTGTTCCATCCAGGAACTTTGCTCACAGCACCAGAATTTCCTGCCAGTGTCATACAAGATAAAGAATGTTGTTCACGGGTCATTTTCGTACACTGGTCAGTCTTGTGGAACTAACGCTCTACCCCTTGACCTAAAACTATCTGAAACTCTGGATACCTCTAACACCAAGCTCAAGACTCACCTCTTTATTCAGTGTTATGATTCATTAACACCTTAAACTGTAAAATGTATATATATGTAGGTCTGTTTAAATATAAAGTTATGGGCATGCTTCTGATAGTGAATTTGTGAGCAACAGAAATGTGCACTGTTCACAGGAAAAGACTCTAGCGTTAATCACTTGACAATGACACGGTTTGAACATGTCTTTCCACACGCTATGAAACAGGGCGACAGGAACCATGCTGAAACATGTGTAACTTCGGTATGAAGACTGTATCTGTAATTTCCTCTCTGATCCCATCGAAAGGGTGCCATATTGGTCCTCTATAACTACACACTGTCGTGGTCTGTGTATCCGAATTTCCTTTTTCTCCGTTCTGACAATCTGCATCATAGGGTTTGTCCAGTGTTTGCTCATTGCTGTTTATTTCAGCTTATTTCCCACACACAGCAATATTTCCCACACACAGCAATATTTCACCTAAATTGACATTTGATGCTAACACACAGCACGATCATATTTGTATTAGATCAACACATAAAAAACAAATTAAAACAAATATTCAGTCTCACGGCGACTCTTCGTTCGCGTTCTGATATTGAAGCCACGCCGAAAACCCGGGTTCGATTCCCCACATGGGTACAGTGTGTGAAGCCCATTTCTGGTGTCCCGCCGTGATATTGCTGGAATATTGCTAAAAGCCGCGTAAAACCATACTCACTCACTCACTCACTCACTCACTCACTCACTCACACACTCCTCGAAAATGATAGTCGTACCACTATGTCCTGGAAATAAAGTTATCTTTTTGGAAAAAAAACCCCACATGTACTTACACCAGACAAAACAAACCCCTTATTTCTGTTCATGCCAAATCATTCCAGACACCAATCTGATAAATCTGTGAGGTCTGACAGGCTAGTGGAGAATAATGTAACACTTCTGGAACAGGTTTTGATACAAAGGGAGGTCTGTGTAGCTGTACATGTGGTGGGGGTACAGCAGGGGTGGTGTCACTGCTGGTGGCGGTGACAGGTCCCAGTGACCGTGACAGATCTCGTGGTATAGGAAAACTCCGGTCATGCATAACTGACAGTGAAAGTTGCTCTATTGGTGTTGACCCTATTCCACACACGCGCGCGATACGCACACACATACACGATCACACGCGAACGCGCAGTTTGTGACACCATGAGGGACTATAGCTGGTCACGTAGTCTGTCTCACAGTCCCTGAACAACATTATTTTCCCTACTGCCTAGCCCTCTCTGCAGTGCTAAAGCCCTAAATAAAGCAAGTCTAGATTTCCTCAGGTTCTGAATCTCTGGTCTCCCTGGGGCTCCTTATCCATTTATATAAGTTTATTTCTTACAATCATAATTATATATATCAACTATATATACAGTCTTGTTGATGAATGGTAGATCAATCAAATACCTTTACAGACTTATTGATAAATGGAAGATCAATCAAATACATTCACAGTCTTGTTGATGAATGGTAGATAAATCAAATACATTCACAGTCTTGTTGATGAATGGTAGATCAATCAAATACATTCACAGTCTTGTTGATGAATGGTAGATCAATCAAATACATTCAGTCTTGTTGATGAATGGTAGATCAATCAAATACATTCACAGTCTTGTTGATGAATGGCTGATCAACAAACCGAATGGTGCATGTGTGTGGACAGGGTGCTGACTCCAGCTCAAAGGCTAGAACTGTGTTGGAAGCAGGGTGGGGCTTGAGGAATGACAGGGGGACATACAGAGTCACCTGGGGCCCCAGGGATGGCCAGTAGCCACCCACATTGTTGCCGTTGATGAACAGCTGTCCCTGAAAGAAAGACGTATTTCTTAAACACCGTACATATATATCAAAGTGTTCAGTGTATGGGGAGCATCTGGGTCTCATGTCAACATATGTGCAAAGAGTCTATCTTGTGCCTGGGTGTCATATCAATATAGGTGTCGAGTGTGCCTACCTTGTGCCAGGGTCTCATATCAATACAGGTGTCGAGTGTGCCTACCTTGTGCCAGGGTCTCATATCAATATAGGTGTCGAGTGTGCCTACCTTGTGCCAGGGTCTCATATCAATATAGGTGTCGAGTGTGCCTACCTTGTGCCAGGGTCTCATATCAATATAGGTGTCGAGTGTGCCTACCTTGTGCCAGGGTCTCATATCAATATAGGTGTCGAGTGTGCCTACCTTGTGCCAGGGTGTCATATCAATATAGGTGTCAAGTGTGCCTACCTTGTGCCAGGGTGTCATATCAATATAGGTGTCGAGTGTGCCTACCTTGTGCCAGGGTCTCATATCAATATAGGTGTCGAGTGTGCCTACCTTGTACCAGGGTCTCATATCAATATAGGTGTTGAGTGTGCCTACCTTGTGCCAGGGTCTCATATCAATATAGGTGTCAAGTGTGCCTACCTTGTGCCAGGGTCTCATATCAATACAGGTGTTGAGTGTGCCTACCTTGTGCCAGGGTCTCATATCAATATAGGTGTCGAGTGTGCCTATCTTGTGCCTGGGTCTCATATCAATATAGGTGTCGAGTGTGCCTACCTTGTGCCAGGGTCTCATATCAATATAGGTGTCGAGTGTGCCTATCTTGTGCCAGGGTCTCATATCAATATAGGTGTCGAGTGTGCCTACCTTGTGCCAGGGTCTCATATCAATATAGGTGTCGAGTGGCTGAGACAGTGAGCTTGGGAGCACAAATGCACCGATGTACAAGGATGGTGTTAGAAGCGTCTCGCTGGTGTCGCTGTCGGCCTTCAGCCTGTAATGAAAGCCATTAAAAAATTATTTGATTTGTCTCTGCAAATCCCACTGCAGTTATTAATATTTTACAATGACATCTGTCATTGATGAGCTACAGAGATGGATGTTGAGCTACACAGATGGGTGTTGAGCTAGAGAGACGTTGAGCTACAGAGATTGGTGTTGAGCTACACAGATGGATGCTGAGCTACAGAGATTGGTGTTGAGCTACACAGATGGGTGTTGAGCTACACAGAAGGGTGTGAGCTACAGATTCGTGTTGAGCTACACAGATGGGTGTTGACCTACACAGATGGGTGTTGAGCTACACAGATGGGTGTTGAGTTAAAGAGATTGATGTTCAGCTATGGAGATGGACACTGAGCTATGGAGATGGATGTTCAAGTACAGAGATTGGTGTTGAGCTGCACAGGTGGGTGTTGAGTTACACAGATGGGTGTTGAGCTACACAGATGGATGTTGAGCTACACAGATGGGTGTTGAGATACACAGGTGGGTGTTGAGCTACACAGATGGATGTTGAGATACACAGATGGGTGTTGAGATACACAGGTGGGTGTTGAGCTACACAGATGGGTATTGAGCTACATAAAATAGTGCCACTTGTGGTTTTAACTGTTTTGTTATTGACATCTTTAACAAGCTATTTACAGGATGTTTTGGAAAAACGAAAATTCAGTGCAAGAAAGATGTATGGCATAGTATGCCTTAATATTCACTGATATTAGATTCAATCATGAATTGTTTTCGTATGAACTCCTCATGAGGTAGGTCATGTGTTTTGAGACAGCTTATGTATTTCATTAACTGCACTTAAAAAGCTTCTTTTTCTTGTTTGAAACATGCCGGACCCTGTTAATCCGTGAACACGGGCGATACTGTCCTCTGGGACCTCTACTATCCAGGTTTTACTACATACGACGAGGCCCTCTACATAATAAAGTCACTACAGGACAAGCCAGTGATTGACATATACGGGCCACTTTGAATGGACATCTTGTCTTAACCCGGAAGTATAATTTAATTTACAACATGAACACTCCATTCCTGGCTAGAATCTACTGGTCAGGTTCAGCTAGAAGGACACACGGGCACCTGTTCAGGATGTTGTTGTAACGTATGGACGCCGGATTTACGAAGTTGTTACTTTGTGTTATACATGCACGTTATACAGGTTCTGGAGAAACCACTAACTCAATGCTAATCTTGTTTGACTTTGACGACACGCCTACAGAAGCCCTGACAGTACAACGTAAGTTAAAACACGATGTTCAACTTATTCTTGCAGTAAGCATTCCAGCAATATGCCAGCACTATCAGGCGGGGGACACTAGGGAAAGATGGGATCGTTTAGTCAGGTTCGTGACCTGGTTAATCACATGCGATTTACCCCATATTAGTGAGGCGATGTTCATTATGTCAATCACTGGACCGTGGTCATGTAGCTGGTCACGAGACACGCATGTAGCGGAGTGAGACCACGGTGACCCGGAGGTCCACTACCGGTCAAGACGTCATTAAGCCTCGTTGTAGTTTGCGGTGTCGTCACAACGCTGCAGGATGTTCCACGGTTAAGTGTTTACTACGAAATAGTGAAACCGGTCATAAACAGGAATGGCGAAGCACTGAGCACGTGTGTATGTGAGTACATCCATCTTTGCAATGCGTAGTACTCCTTTAACGGAGATTCGGGTTTTAAAGAAAAATACTGTTTTGATCAGCAGGTCGATTGCTACCGTATCGAGCACACTTTGAATAAGCACATGTTCTAATTTAGCACTCAGATCTAATTGTGCAAAAAATCCGCGTTGACCAAGGTATAAATGATTCACGTGATATTTATGTTGACCAATGTTAGCACCTGCTAACTTATTTAAGTCATACTTATGTTGATCAATATAAGCACATGCTAACTGTTTAGTCAAACTTACGTTGACCAGTGTCAACACGTGCTAACTGATTTTTCGCATCATACTTAGGTATAACCTATTTAACTCCTGCCTCGGGTTAGCAGCCCCAAGTATAATTAAGTCATATATTGATTAAATAATGAATAAAACATTTTAATTGAGATAATATAACTAGATATTAAAGGGATATGTGTTGTTTGAATTTTGTCAAAGGGACATTTGCATACCTTACACGTCACCGATTAGAACAATAATTAAGAAAACGAAGTTTTATACCACGTCAAACCCCGTACTCTGTGTTTATACCTCTGTGTAAATGTTTCTTCTTTAGGTGTACTGGTTCCGTTAATTCATGAGTGAGTGAGTAAGTTTAGTTTTACGCCGCACTCAGCACTATTCCAGCTATATGGCGACGGTCTGTAAATAACCAAGTCTGGATCAGACAATCCAGAGATCAACAGCATGAACATCAATCTACGCAACTGGGAAACGATGACGTTTCAATCCAGTCAGCGAGCCTGACCACCCGATCCCGTTAGTCGCCTCTTACGACAAGCATGGGTTGCTGAAGATCAATTATAACCCGGATCTTCACGGGTTCCGTAAAATCATGACACGCTGAACATACTAAAGGCCCGTGTACGGATGTTTACGGTGACCGCTGTTGTGAGTCATTTGTGAGTGAGTGAGTGAGTTTAAGTAGGTTTATCACCAGGGCCTAACTTGACTTGAACACCACGATCACCGGATCAAGGCAAGGGGCGTAATTCTGCAAGGCGTCAGAAACAACCTTGCTGTCCGAATCCTCTTGACTTGTGTCAGACAAAGATTTATTAAGCCATATATTACTGGAAAAAATCTATCCGTCTTTAAACTAATCAAGTTATTTGGTTTAAAGAATGTTAAACAGTTGTGCATGTAATATAAGAAATGTGTATCTAAAATAATTTTGTACATTGTCCATATGTATGCATATATACCACCAAAATTGTCAAACCCGTCCACCTGTATTAATCTATGCTGTATCAATTTATGCTTTGTGTAACCGCCGATAAGTTGTAAAACTTAAGGTTGATAAAGAATTGAATTGAATTGTCTTGCTGGTCAGTCACCTTAACACAAGGGTATAAACAGTGTCAACTACACACTGGATTGTGTGGTCCAAGCCAGGTTATTACCGACGGCCATCATACAGCTGGGATATTACCGAGTGCGACGTAAAACAACAAACGTACAAATAAACAAACATTGCACAAACGGTTGATTGTGCGTGGTCGTATTCTGATCCAAAGGGGCGTTGAACCCAACTAACATGTCACTGCGATATATATAATATTCTCTACCAGTCTGTGATGTAATTCCAGGAAATCTAGTTTTGAGAAGGAAATATATTTTTTATTCCTACTACCAGCGCTTAAGAACAAACAAACGTATACTTATGTAAATAAGAAACGCGTACATTTAAACCACATTCGATGAATATTTTATCACGTTATAGATGTGCAACTTTAAATCAAGTTTATTTTTGTTCGGCATTGGGAACTGTTATTCGAACAAAACTATAGATCTAGCCTCCATTAAATATCCGGCCTTCACCTTCGCTAATATCAATGGCAATTTATTTTATATATCCAATATGGTCAACTTGGTTATGAACAACAAGAACCATTTATACATACGAACAGATTGCATTTACAACTCAGTACAGTACACGCTTTCAATGTAAATTCACAAATTAACATAGTACTGAGCTCTTGCTTTGCAGCGTGAAAGTCTTGGGTAGTAGTTTCCTAACAACTAGCCTGCTATGACTCAGCCAACGATGGCCGTCTGTCAATGCATAAAGCATGAACACATGTCGCAATTTTGATGTAAAGATTTCACGTGGCCGTATTAGCATATTCTTTCTTCACCTCTGTTTGTGTCAGAGCATGGTCCATATGGAGTTCGGTAAACCTTCATTTTACCTTCTGTCACACAATGAATACCATTTTCGATACCGGTCATTCACGAACCTTCGAACTATTTTCGTCGGATTACCTATTTTTCTACAATGAATCCAGAGAAAAAAAGCACAATGTTTATATGCTGCCTGATTTAATAGACACAAGTACAAGTTCACATTCTAGTTAATATACATATTTCGTGTTCAGAAAAAAGAGAGGAATAATTTGTTATAAAATGTCGTAGACATACCGAATATGAACTGATACATGGATTTATTCGTAAGTGACGTACATGTATTTCATTTCTGTGATTTATTTTTGGGATTTAATATACAATGTAGTTGATATAGTGAAGATCACCATATGCACCATAATGGTATCATTGTTTATGAGAGAATAAAAAGCAGCGAACAACCAGATAGCTCTTCCCAGATAACCTTAACCTTCACCCAGTATGTCAGAGAACTAAGTGTGTATTCCTAGCACTGAACATATGTAAATTTAACCACTTTCAGAAAGACATTTCTGTAATGTTCGAGTTGATATAAAGTGCATATAGTGACAAATATACTGTAGCTGGCCTGCTCGGGGTTGGGCGTGGTAATTACAATCTTAGTAATGCCACATTTTTCACTCCTGTGTGATACCTCAAAGTATCCGATCGTCGGGGAAAATTTGATGTTGAAATGATTTGTAATTTGTACCATGTTTGTAACTCAGGCAATGTATCTTTGTATTCGAATAAATATACACATTTGGATTGGCATACATACAAAAGTATGTGTCGAAATTCATGTACAAAATGATGTGTGAACGAACAGAACCACACTTGCTAGACCTGGCCAATAGTCCCACCAAGGGCCACCTCGGTCCTTGTATCCTGAGTGCTCAAAGTCCAACCACTTGGCAACCCTTTGTCATCAAACACAGCAAAGAGAAACTGAATTTGACTAAGGAATTCTATCTTGTTTTATTTTTTAACGACGTTAAACTATTATTAAATGTATTTAAATTGATTTGCTATGACGACTTTAGCTTGGGCTGACTCATCGTTTGAATAAAACGTACACATGGTGAACCTATCAACTGAGAGAAATAAAGGTGAAATTTATAACTAAAAATATATTTTATTCAGTTAAATTGGGGAATTCAATGCGCAATTGGGTATGACTCACAGTTAGTTCACTGGATTGGTCTGTTGTTGTTTTTTTCACAAAAGTAGATGAATACTATTACGTTGAAAACAAATAGGAAACAAAAGGGATGGCAGATACATTTCAACATTGTTTGAGATATTTTGTGTGACAAGCCCAGCGAATCTGATAGTTACAGAGCCATTGAAGCTTCTTTCGTGTTTCATTCGCTTGTCTATCAACATTTCTTATATTCAGTCTGTGAATGTTTAATTCTGACTTTGATTCACAGGGTATATTACGTTTGCTAAAAGGTGTATCGTTTTGTATGTAAAGATACAACTATATAAACATTTGGGTTTGTAATTACATTTCTGTTACAGATCACTTTGAGAAACATTGTTGACGGACTATTGTTGAGCACTGAGTATTTCCTCCGTGTTCGACAGATGTTTCCAGAATGTTCTGTGTGAGATATTATTAGTCAATATCAAGTAGCACATGTAACTCATGTTTTCCACAATATCATTGGCTCTTGCAGGTTCAACTTTGACCCGTGACCTTTGACCGGCTTCATTCAGCTGACAGACGAGCTTAGTAGGAAAGGAAGGGCTTGTGGAAACCGGCTCCGGTTAGTCTCTGTTTTGGTGTGTGAAGCTCCAACAGACATTTACGAATATCCAGCAATGATTTGTGAAAATGTATTTCAATAATAATCCAGGAGACACAATGGATACGCGGAATATTGTTGTGGACTATGTGAAATATCGTCTGGAACGAAATGGCTACGTGTGGCAAAATGGACCTGTGATGGAAAATGGAGCTAGCAGAGTTTGCAACACTATGCGTAGTATAGGCGATGAGTTCGAGGAGAGATACCGGAGTCAGTTTGAAGAAATGGGAAATCAGCTGCATATTACGCCAACTACAGCGTACCCAACATTTCATGCAATTGTCAATGAGCTATTCGCGGATGGTGTGAACTGGGGCCGTGTGGTCGCTTTGTTTACTTTCGGGGGCTCCCTCGCAGTAAGGTGTTTTGAGCAGAATATGCCCCAGATTGTGGATTCAATAGTTGACTGGGTTTCTACATATGCAGACAATAATTTATCACAATGGATTTCCGCTCAAAGTGGATGGGTAGGTATTGTTTTGCAGCAGATTTCATGTCAATCAGTAGATGACCTGTAATCGTGACATAAATGTATCTTGTTTACGTTTTAGTTTCTGGGTCGGCTTCACGATTGAGTGAACAAGAGAACAATGCATGCATTGCCACGTGACATTCACCACCTGTCCATCTGACATTTGTAATCAACAATATTAGCTATGGTGACAATGCCTTTTGTTATAAATTTAAGGCGCCAACACCTTTCATTGAGTATTAAAATTAGTAACATCACGAATGAAGATCTACTCAAGTGAATGAGAATTCCAAATTTATATTAAATAAATCCAAAGATGAACAATAAGCAGCATAGGCGGACCCAGAGGGTGTGTGTGTACAGGGTGCCCCTGTCCTGAAAGTTTATTAAATGACCATTGAAACTTGGGTGAAAATGAAGTGTGCACCCCTCCTTTTCTCAATAGTGTGCACCCCCCCTTTCTCAAAAAGCTGTATCCACCCCTGAGCAGGTACACGATTTAAAGTGGTAGATTGACAATGAAGATTTGGCATACATCCCAAATGCAGATAACTAACATTACATGTCAGCAAAATAATATTCTTTAATGTCAGGTGCATGTTTAGTAAGATCCGGATATAACAGATACTTAGCTGTGAAATAATGTATTCAAGTGTGATACAGATCCTTATGCCTATATAACCTGATATGCAAATGTGTATTTATATGCCCGCTTAAACCAGTGAATACAGTCCGCCCACAGAGGGCATACCTTACTGATATGGCTCGTTCTATTGACAAGAGCTGGATAATGCCTGGGTGGAATGTTTTGCGCTGTTTGATATGTATATCAAGGAGTGGAGAGTGACACACATTCTGTCATTGGATTGCAACTCATTGCCTCAATGCTATATTTACACGTGAACAGTGTTCGAAATTTAAGGGGGGTCTTTGGACATTTTTTCCTGTAAGTTTAAATCTAGAGACCACCTCAAACTCTATATTAAACTTTTATTTGACCCATATACTTTCACACTTTGTTTCGAAACACACGGCATGAACAATTTGGATCACAGGCAATGTTTGAAGATAAGGGGACCAAACAAAATTTCTACTTCTAATGTTATGTTTGAGACTTTTTGCTTAATTCCAGGACAATATTACACTTTTACTCATGTGTCTTTGAGGCATCATACAGGATGCATGGATTATGAAAGTGTTTTGTTTTATTGTTATGTGCAGCTTAAAATTCCCTTGTGTGAATGAAGTGTGATGATGTATGTCTAGAACACTCTTCAATGACAAAATTCTGAAAATCATATGATGTAAAACATTATTTTTGATCTTTATTGTTGTTTACAAGATAAATTTATTATGAAGATTTGAACTTCCAATCAATATTTTTCATATAATGGCCGCTGGTTAACATTACATATTTGTTCAGTATATTTGAATAAAAGCAAGATGAATGATGGTGAATGTTGATTGGAGAAGTAATAGGGATGTTGATTGAATTGATGGCAATAGGGATAAGGTTCTTCTAATTAATTTACCCTAGCCAAATGGGAGACTGTGTATGACAAAATCTGATACTGTTATTATTCATTGTTAATAACTGATTCATCCACAACTTCAAAGTGGTACTGAACTTTGATATTTGAAGTTTGTATTACCACAAGCACATGATAACAGCGATACATGTAAGTAAGTTGGTTACCCTGGGCTGTTCGAAAATGTTTGATTCTATTACCACAGGATAATGTTATTAATAACCAGCTCTGCTATTGAATTTCATCGGCAATACCAGGACACATTCTGTTTATAACATATTTCACCGCTTGACCTACCTTTAAGTAGGTTGAGATGCAGATGATCAGAATACCTAGAGTATGTGTCATCAGGTAAACATGGTAAATAACTCCCCATACACACCATCAGTGTAAATATGTTTATACAGTGAGCATGGTGGTAGGAGTTATATATTTTTTTGGGCAGTGGCCTAGTGGTTAAAGCGTTGGCTCGTCACCCCGAAGACCCAGGTTTGATTCCCCACATGGGTACAACATGTAAAGCCCATTTCTGGTGTCCCCTGCCGTGATATTGCTGGAATATTGCTAAAAGCGGCGTAAAACCATACTCACTTTATATTTTTGACATTCATTCATCTGCTGTTGGGGCGGTGGGGTAGCCTAGTGGTTAAAGCGTTGGCTCGTCATGCCGAAGACCCGGGTTCGAATCCCCACATGGGTACAATGTGTGAAGCCCATTTCTGGTGTCCCCCGCTGTGATGTTGCTGGAATATTGCTAAAAGCGGAGTAAAACCCAACTTACTCATTCATCTGCTGTTATAACCATGACAGGAACACAATCCCTGTCATGAAATTACAATATATCAGTGAAGGAAAAATCTGAAATTTGAGATGACAAACACTAAAACTCATTTTTCTTCTTGTAAGGTCACATGATACAATTAGCATTATAATTTTCATTGTATACAAATATACTCAGGTGAATTAGATTGCTGAAAACTGTGTGCCAAAGTAAGGTTGACAGGCTATAGTTAGTTTTAGTCTTTGACATAACGGTCTCAACACAGGCTTTTTGTTTATTTTAGGCGTAATTAATACCAGTAAAATTTATATTTTAGGCATAATTAATATTGATAAGTTATTATGTTTTAGGCTTCATTGTGAACACTGACCATAGTGACGTCCTGTCATGGACATATTTGTCTAGGTCTAATCAAGGATGGTGGTCAGTAAATAATCAGGCATGGAGGAGACAATCAGGTGATTGACATGGGCAGTGATGTAAACAAATGGGGTACAAAGACATGCATCAGATATGTGTAATTTGTATCTTGGTAATCAAAGGTACCTATTTCAGTTATCAAAATTTCTCTGAAAGCTTGTGTGCAGTGTAGAAGAATGATGACAGTGGACAACTGTATTCCTAATGGTGCAGGGATTGGGATAGAGAACTTAAGCAATGGGCCATTTTCAGGATTATTAGCCATTTTCTGAATTTAGAATGGGCCCAAACCCTTGTATCAATAGTAAACTTCAAACTTTTAATGGGCCATTTTTTTTTCTAATGTGCAAAATGGCCCATGGCCTCTGTCTTCCCAGTCCCTGATGATGCTATGTAGCATGTATTAATGTTGAAGTAGTAATAGCAGGTGTCGAATGCTACACAGTGTTAGGTAATAACCTGAATGTTTTCTAACCCCCATCACAAGACAGATGGTCAACCCATTGAAAAAAATATGAAATTTGTCTAGCTATTAGGATACCTTAAACGTTAGAGTAATCTAGATAATCTTGGTGTAGCTGGGTAGGTTTCTTTCTCATCCACATCATATTCACTTTGGATAATTGTACTTTCATGGTTGAGACATCAAGACTAGAACTGAGAATGTTTACAGCAGGTCCAGTAGTGTATAAACGCCAGGTGTGCCATCATGTGTTGTCGGTACCCATATTCTCTGTGTTGACCACACAGCTGCAGGTAGTGCCCATGTACCAAGTTTTACACTGTCGGTTGTCTGATTCCTCGATAGTGCATGGGAGCAAAGGTAGATGGTTTGACAGTGTGATTACTGTTTCCAGGTTATCAAACGAGAAAATCACATGCAACAATACTGATTACAGTGTTCAAAAATACTTATTGTAACAGGAAATAATATAAAGATTTCCAGGCACCTTGTTGAATAGTCTATTATTACAAAAGTTATGGTTTCATAGACATTTGAACTTAATTTGTTCTAAGAGAGAATATGCTCCCAACCATCATGTTCCATATGGTAAAGAAGTTGACATCCATTGGTTTTCCCCTTTAGATTATTTCTTTATCAGCTCCATTTTTGACATTGTTGTGGTTGGTTTCATTCATGCTGATCTGCCCTTCGTCAGTTTTCTATGCGACTTGAGCACATGTTACGTATTCTGTCATTGTGTTTAGTGGGTCACACTGTACTGCAAAGAGTACAGACTGCATGCCTCCCATTCTGACCTGATTGTTTCGCTTGTTCCTCTCTCTAACCCATTTATGTAGATTGATGCTCATGATGTTGATCACTGGATTGTCTGGTCCAGACATGACTATTGACTGACTGCCACCATATAGCTGGAATATTGCCAAGTGTGACATTAAGCAAACATACATACAAATATTGTAGATCTCTATTTGGCTATCTATGAAGTCGTATGCTCATGATGTTGATCATTGACTGACTGGACCATTGTCTGTGTCAAACATACATACAAATATTGTAGATCTCTATTTGGCTATCTATGACTCATGATGTTGATCACTGGATTGTCTGGTCCAGACATGACTATTGACTGACTGCCACCATATAGCTGGAATATTGCCGAGTGTGACATAAGCAAACATACATACAAATATTGTAGATCTCTGTTTGGCTATCTATGAAGTCGCATGCTCATGATGTTGATCACTGGATTGTCTGGTCCAGACATGACTATTGACTGACTGCCACCATATAGCTGGAATATTGCCGAGTGTGACATTAAGCAAACATACATACAGATCTTGTAGATCTCTATTTGGCTATCTATGAAGTCGCATGCTCATGATGTTGATCACTGGATTGTCTGGTCCAGACATGACTATTGACTGACTGCCACCATATAGCTGGAATATTGCCGAGTGTGACATAAGCAAACATACATACAGATCTTGTAGATCTCTATTTGGCTATCTTGAAGTTGATGTTCCATGATGTTGATCACTGGATTGTCTGGTCCAGACATGACTATTGACTGACTGCCACCTCTATAGCTGGAATATTGCCGAGTGTGACATTAAGCAAACATACATACAGATCTTGTAGATCTCTATTTGGCTATCTGTGAAGTCGCATGCTCATGATGTTGATCACTGGATTGTCTGGTCCAGACATGACTATTGACTGACTGCCACCATATCTTGTTGCCGAGTGTGATCTCATACAGATTTGTAGATGGCTCTATTTGGCTATCTATGAAGTCGTAT